TCCAACAATGTATGTATGCCAAAAACTTAAAATAATCCAGGAGTACTAAGAAGAATTGGTTATTACACATAGACTTACAGAACATGTGTTATTATTGTTTTCCAAATAACATACACAATACAGAATTTGTTGTACTTTCTGTTAAAACGAAATCTAAGACTTTCTCATGAGAAAAATATATCCCCTACGACCACCAGTGGAAAACAAATTTTTAGGTATATACTGTAATATAAAAATAATAATAAGTAAAAAGATAGAAATGGGTAAAGACAAACAAGCTAGAAAAACACAGGGCTAACTCTTAAAATTAACACAATAGTGATTCTTTTATAATTGCAATTCAAATGAAACAATGATGAAGTTTAAAGGTATTGATTGTAAAAAATCAAAATCATACAATAAAATTATGGGAAACAGGATTAGAAGATGCAGGAAGCAGAATTAGTTTGAAGTGAAGAAAATGCAGGCAGCAAGATAAGAAAAAAGGTTCTACTTCATAAAATGCAACGAGAAGAGGTCGTTTAGAGCTCAGGAAAAATAATCATGGAACTACTTCAATGTTCAGTAGGTGTACTCAAAACAGCATGCATGAGAAAATACTAATTTAAAATACTTCATTTAAGAAAACCTACAAAAATAAATTCTGCAGCAAGCTTAAATTAGTTGACTACTATCTTAACATGGCAATAACATTGCATCGTGAAACAAAATCAGGAAAGGTTACACAATAAGCTACGTGAAATCACAGGCTGTGTTACCCTGGAAGATAAAACATCACAACCCTGGTAATGATATGAATGGTGTAAATAAACACAATGTAAATAAACAAGTGGATCTGTAGTTCATTAAGTGCATCCTCCATTTTATTATTTCTATTTTTTCACACCTGTAGCCTGTCACTGATTTATTTTTACTAGACGGAAAATGAAGAAATTAAACATTATACAAGCACATTAGCTTAATTTAGATTGAGTTTCCGTCCACCTGTAAGTTTATTATTTGATAATAACTAAGATATCAATGACAATAGTTGTCAAAAAAACACATTTGTTTCCAAAGGATCAGCAAAAGTAAATGCTTTTTGGTTCATTGAAAGCCATTCCAATAGCAAATCTGATAGAAATAAGCACACTTTACTCAACACCAAACCAGCTATATACCTAACATGTGACTGACTGCTGGCGGAGCGGATGGAGTGTGCAGAGTTGTCCCCTGAGGTCTCTCTGGACTGCCCAAGCCCACGTCTAAGTTGGAGGAGAGACATACGCTTTACACCCTTCGCACTTCACCCTTGATCCCCATCTCAGGCATTTACAGGCTGGTATACATTCATTTCTTACAGAAAGCAAGATTTTGAGGCCAAAATGTAAACCTCTAAAACTTTAAAATTATACATGAAATGAGCAATACATTATTGTTTAGAATGAAAAGGGGGGTAATGTTTTGATTATGTAGTATGCATCAGGCAAGAATGGGATGCTTTTCTGAGGAGATCTTATTTAAACTCCACACTGAACTTGAAAGAAACAACTGTGAAACTGTCTTCCCCACAGAAGTCCTACGAAAATTACTAAAGGAAAATAGAATGTAGAGCCCTCATTAATACGACTGCGTTCAACAAGCAGGTAAGACTATAGCATGAGGCCACCTCTGCAAGAACAAAGTCAATGTTCTCTCAAAACGTTCTTTCCCAGCAAAACCTAAGTCTCACATCCACATTAATAGTAAATGTGGGGGACATGGGAAAACTATCAACCACCGACCATAATGCACAGAACAGAGTCCTGTGGTGGGAGCCAGCTCAAAAGCCTTCAAAGAGATCTTCTCAGCTTCATCCTAACCAGCTGTGAAAAACAGAGAAAATGGATGATTCAGCAATGAATCGTGAGGGATTCTTCACCTCTGCGCCCAAATGAAGGAGAATAATGTCTACTTGGTAATCATAATTTAAAAAGTGTTTTGTTTTTATCTAAACAGAAAATCAAGAGAATACGTTGAGAGAGAAGACTGAAGTCAGAATCCTGGGAAACACCAAGATTAGAATAGACAGGGAGAGTGAGTTCTTCAAAGAGACCAGAGAGACAAGGTCAAGGGAGCAAGAGAAAAAAGCGAAACAGTTGGTTTCACAGAAACCAAAAGGATCAGATTGTTTAAAGAAATGGTGGGAAACATCATTATAATTTCCTATTTTATTTTCTCCCTTCAAGTTGTTTCCTCTTCATTCCTTCTCCTTCTTTGTAAAGAATTATGACCATTTTACCTTTTGAGAGGATTTTGTCCTAATGATTCACTTTATACATGAAGAAACTGTGTCACAATTTACAAAATCTCAAACAACTACTGCTTGTCCTTGCTGCTGTCATTCAGGATGAAAATAGTCCTAATCCAGTATTTAAGCTAAAGCTGGGTCATCTTCCCAGCTATAGTTTTAAGTAAACATTGCAATCATCCTCAGAAGAAAATAAGCAAAAAGTGGAGGGAAACTATCATATGCAATAAACTGATTTTTCATGAAAAAATATCATAATCCAGGTAGATACGAAAACTATACGTTCTTCACGTGGTTATTACTATTGATCCAAAATTGCCTGCAGAGGAACACAAGGGGGCAGGCTGAGGTAGAAAAATAGTCCCAAGAACTTCCTTGGAGCAGTTCTGTCTTGACTGGCATGGTTAGAAGGAAGATCTACGCCGACTGCAAGTAGCAGCAGGGCACTGGGAGGTGACCACAAGCCGTGGTCCATGGGAAAGAAAACAATACATCTGCTTGTGTCTTCCAATTTATACACTATCTACCACATGAAGTGGGGTTTTTCTTTCTCCACACATATTTTTAAAACCACTCTTATGAAGATAAATCTTCCAAAGGTAGAGGTGTAGAATTAAGCTATATTCTACAGCCCATGTGTTAAAAAACGAAATTTAACCAAGTGCATTGGAAGATCCAGTTGGCTTTGTTAAGCGACTCATGGATGGGGCAGCATTCCATCCAGCAAGGAGAAGGGCGCTCCCTATCTCTTTTGTTTTCAAGTCCTGTTTTGCTCATTTACATTATGTTTCCTTCACATTATTAGACTATCTGGAATTTCTGCATGTATACTCAATCACATATTTACAAATACACCGTCACACTAGACATGTATTTTGTAATTGCTATTTCACAAAACGATATATTACAAACAGCTTCTCATTTCAGCTAACTACATCTCCTTCCTCATTTAATGCCCACAGAATCCTCCATTGTTGGATGCATCATGATTTACTGAATCATTGACCATCAGAGGGCAGTTAGGTTGTTTCCAATTGTTGCCGTAGTGAGCAACTCCAGATGCGACCTGCACACATAGTGATCCTTTCCTTAGGAGAGATTCAGGGAAGAGCACAGAAGGCCAAGGGCGTGAGCACTTTACAAGGCCATTCCAGGTAAAGACAGCACCCTCCTGATTGAAAGTAATTATTAATAAGTACTGGGAGCCGTGTTGAGGGCTATACCGACGTTATATTTAGTTCTCATCACGACCTACCTCCACCCCATGATGCTTGACCACACCCATTCGACATGTCTGCTAGTAAGCGGGGAGCAGGAGCAGGCCAGGCAGCCAGCCCTGCTCTGACCACCACACAAAATGGCTTTTGTAGGGGCTGCTGTTGGGGATAAGGACATTCTCTGAAAGACAGCAAATTGGGAAGGAACTGGGCTTGAAAAACAAAATGGACACCCCCCAAGAGTGCTATAGCTGGTCTTCCCAGACTCCAAGAGGCTTTCTCCATCTCTAGGAGGACAGAAAAGAAAGAAAACAGCACTGGGCAAATGCGGGCTAGGGGGTGAAGGCAGGAGAAGCCACCCATAAAGCCTGGTCAGCAAGTCCCTCTTCTGTCCAACTTCTTCGCTTGGCCACACATGAAACTCCAGCCATCAGGACTCCCTTGGGTTTCACGTCTGGGTTCCCTGCCAGGACTGGCCAGGGACTGCCTCAGGGCAGACACAGAGTCTGCATGAATAAATAACTGACTCCAAGGACCTGTTCCACCGTCTCTTTCCAACATGCGCTCCCCACTAAGCCACAGACACGCTGACACTTGTGCACCAGGGCATCCATCAGAGCATTATTTGCAGTAACAAAAGTACCAAAAATAACTGGTTAAATAACCACAGTTTTTGTGCCATTAAACACTGTACAAAGTTAAAAAGCCCAAGTCCAATCCAAAACATGTCACCATCTCATCACAACCAAAGTCACCTGACTGTGAGATGCACCACGACTTCATGTTGCACTAGGGGGAAAAAAGCCAACTCAGCTATGCTCCATTGATGGTACAAGAAATCGGATCTCAGAGATGGTCAGAGGTGGGGAAACCACGGGAAATACCATAGGTGGAAAAACCAAGTGCAAGTAATGTGTAGGGCATGCTACTGTGTGTGTGCTGTGTGTGTGTGTGTGTAAAGGAAGGGGTTATACAATCAGTCGTGCTTCTACCGTCATACAAAATTCCTAGAAATATACACAAGAACCCGTTAACAAGAGCGGCCTCTTAAGGCTAGGTTGGGGCATCGGGACACAACAGTGGAAAGGAAAAGCTCCTTTCATCATTACTTCTATTTGTAAACTCTGAAATTTTAAACCATATATTCCCTTTTTAAAATAAAACTTTGAAAACTACTAAAAGCAAAAGAAAAGAGTGCACCCTTCTCGATTAAGGTGCCTGGTATTCGGAGCCAGCCTTGGATCTGGAAACCGTTACATCCAGTTCTAGATCTACTAGCGCGACCTCAGGCAAGTTCCCGCCCCAACTGGGTCTCCAAGGGCCCTGGGTGTCAGAGAGCTAGCCTCGGGACATCCCTCGGGCTCGGAGCCCCAGGCCGGCCGGGAGCCCACCCCGCCGCTCTGTCGCCGGGCCCGGCAGCCGTCTGCGGGCGCCCCGCAGTGCAGGCCCGGCCAATCAGCGGCCGCGGGGCGGGCGGGGTGGCTGCGCCGCGCGCGCGGAGCAGAGCGCGAAGCAGAGGCTCCGCTGCCGTCCCGGGGCAGGCCATGCCGCGCTCACCCCGGCTCTTCCCGCTGCTGCTTCTGCTGCTGCCGCCGCTGGCCGCGGGCCTCGGGACCCGCGGCGCCGGCGGCCGGCGCCCCGAGTGCGGTCCGTGCAGTCCCGAGCGCTGTCCGGCGCCCGGGCGCTGCGCGGCGCCCGGGATCGCGGCGCGCGACGAGTGCGGCTGCTGCGCGCGCTGCCTGGGCCCCGAGGGCGCGCGCTGCGGGGGGCGGGCGGGCGCGCGCTGTGGCCCCGGGCTGGTGTGCGCGAGCCGCGCCGCGGGGACGGCGCCCGAGGGCACCGGGCTCTGCGTGTGCGCGCAGCGCGGCGCCGTCTGCGGTTCCGACGGCCGCTCCTACCCCAGCGTCTGCGCGCTGCGTCTGCGCGCCCAGCACGCGCCCCGCGCGCACCCGGGCCACCTGCACAAGGCGCGCGACGGCCCCTGCGAATTTGGTGAGTAGGGCCTCAGGCCCGCGCTGCTGGGGCGGGTGGAGAAAGAGGGACCTCAGTTCTTTGGGATGTGAGGCGAAGGATCCCCTGTGCACTGCGACGGACAGCGCGGCCTGAGCCTCAGTTTTCCCTTCGGGAGCGGTGTTTCTTATCTGGCCGGGTGCTTAAGGAGACTGGGGCAGGAATCCACATCCTCCTGTACCCTCCTGTACCAAGCACTGGAGACACCAGCCACCGTGCTGGTCGGAGTTTTGGTGAGCCTGCTGTCCCTTTTGGTACTTACATACTTGCTGATGCAGTTACTTGCAGGCCTGGCATGTTTGTCTCACGAGGCTAGGAGTTTGGGGCGGGGGGCGGATTCCTACTGGGTCTGAGTCCCTGGGTTGGGGCACCCTGGGGGTAAGTTGTCTGAATGGAGAGGGAGGGAAGATGAAGATGCCAGAGGAGGAGGAGCTCCAGACCCGGACTCAGGAGTCTCAGGTCACTGGGCCAGAACACCAGGGCTGGGGCCCTGCTGGGGGGCCTGAAGGAGCTCCCACCCAGGACAGGTAAGACCTTTGGAAACCTAGGCTCTGAAAAGATGATGGTGCCATCGGGGCAGACCTGGGTTTTGTGGGGCTGAGGGCTATATAATTTGGAGGGTCCCGCTTTAAGTAAAGAAATCGAAAATTAATCATTGCTGGGGACCTACTAAGCTTCGGTAACATCACAGTAAAGTCACCTGTGTACTGATAGCATTGTTGTCCAGCCTCTATATGTAATTTTTAAAAATCAAACAAAAATAACCAGAACATTAGTACAGGGATTTCTAGCTGAGCACCCCGCAGGCCAATTAGATTTTGGAGAACTGCTCTGTCTGTGGGGCCTGGAGGAGGCAGTGGACAGTTTAGAGCCAGGGAGCTTGTGGCCCACGAGTCCCAAGGAGACCAAGTTAGGGCTCTAGCCTGGACCTGAGACCAAGTCCAGGCCTAATGCCTAAGTCGGTGTAGTGACTTCAGCTCTGACAAGGAAGGCTTGGGGTGGGGGAGGCCTTTTCCAGGCCTTGGGAAATTTCTAGTCTTCTTTTCCCCCAAGCATTCCAGGCAGATGCACTGAAGCCCAGGAGTCCCAACAGATTGTTGGAGGTGGGGCAGAAAGGCTCCTGTCCCCAGAAACATGAAAACAATGTGTGGCCCATTGAGGGGCCGAGGCAGTCCCGGTGCCTGGGAAAGTCACTGTTGGCTGTTCCTGCTTGGGGCTCCCCGTGGAGGAGAGAGTTGGCCAGTGCTTCCCATGCTGCTGCTGGTTCTCTGAGCAGCCTTGGGCTGGTCCCTTCCTGCTCTGGGCAGTGTCACCCCCTGTGGAGTCACCACTGAGGTCCTTTCCACTTCGAACCTTTGTTTCTGCCCTAAGGCATTTAAACAGTCCTGTCTCCTTCCATCTTCTAGTTCCTGTCATTTGTTCTTACAGTCTGCTTTCCTCAGCAGTTAATTCACAGGCGGTTCTCTTTGTTTGCAGACAAGTAACACTCTTACTCCACATGCAGGAGACATAAGAAGTGCTGACCAGGTCCCCAGAAGCTAGGCAGTGCTGAGGGTCTCATGATTTCTCCCTGGAGTGGTATTCTGTTCCTGAGAGAGGGCCACCTTGAAGGCATTTAGACCAAATCTGCTATGATGCAGAGGAGACTGAGACCAGGGGCGCAGGGCCTGGTGCAGGCCGACCAGTGCAGCCTGACCAGCTCCCAGGTCCCCACACCCTGTTCGGTGCTCTTTCAGGACAGGATAGTGTTAAGTCAGGCAGGTGGTGGTTGCCATGGTTACCAGAGTGCCGCCAGATGGCAGGCGAAAACTCCATGCCCCTAATTCATTGAAAATTACCAAATGACAAGTGTGACAGCCCCTCCACTCTGATCTGTGGGCTCTGAGCCTCCCCCATCCCTAGGCATAGGCCCCGAGAGTAAAGATGCTCATGGGGTCAAACGGAGGCAATTCAGACGCTGCTTTTAATGATCCCATAGTGACAGGCATCAGGCCTCCCCTGAATTTAGCTCTTGTTCCCCACCAGCAATTGTGTCATCCGCCACAGACCTGGGCATTTTCCTGTCGCTTTTTGTCCTGAAAGGTCTGTGGCCCTGCCCTCGCGTCCTGGTGAAGCACGAAGGAGCAGACAGGGGGATATTTCCTAGCTGGCACATCGTTCTGTGCTGCCCTAAAGCCATCCTTTATTCAGAGGGTACAGCAGGAGCACTTTTTAACAATGCCCCTAGGGACCCTGGTTGAAGGAAAACAGGCTGAGTCAGACAGCAGCTGTTCAGCTTCCGTGTTGGTGATAAAATTGCCGCCCCTCAGCTCCTCACGTACTCCTTCAGTGAGCGGGCACCCGCCCCTGACGGAATGAGGCCTCGGTAAATACTCTTAGGTTCCTTGCAGTGTGGCAAGTGTTCCTACACCTGCCTCTGGGGGCGTTGGGAAACAGTTTTCAGGCTTAAATTCTGACCTTTCCTCCTATGCTCTGAAATGCCCCAAAATGCCTAATAATGAGAGTAATCTTTTGATCAACACACATTTATTGAAGGCCCTCTATATTCCCACATATGAATAATTCTTTACTGTTGGAAATCGCTTTTGCATCCCATCTTCTTACTTGATTTTTACAACCACCAAGGCCAGCTCTCACTCCCATTTAATAGAAGGGAAAACAGGCGCGCAGAGGGGCATTCCCTGGAGTCACACAGCTAGTGCCCAGCAGAGGGGGCACTCCAGCCTGGGTCTTCCTGGCTCTTTTCAGATGGGGCTGGGCATCTCTAGGCCGCTGGGAGCCTGACCAGGAACGTGCCACAAACTGGCTACCCTTGAATCTTGAGGCTTTCTTGGTCTGGATCCACCTTCCTGTTTTTCCCCCCAAGGCCTGTTGCTGGTTCCTCTGTTGATCACTGGGTAATGGCTCCTGAGAGGAACAGGGACAGCTTCACAGGAAGGGAAGCATCTGAGAGGAGCCTGGAAGAATGAGTAGAAAATTCCTGGGCTGAGAAGAGGGGGATGAGGAGGCACAGCATGAACCAAGGCAGGGAGGTGGGGGGGTCCTGTGAACAGTGGGCCCGCTGGGCAGGTACCCAGTGGGATGGTGGGCAGAGGAGGTGAGGCCCAGAGTAATTTGGGGCAGGGTCATTGCAAGTCTTGAGTTCCAGGCTAAGAGATGAAGCTTCATCCTGTACTAAATCATAGGTTCCATTTCTCAACTGTTAAGGTGGCATGGCATTATTATTATTACCGTTATTGTTGTTGCTGTTGTTGATGTTGTTGTTGCTATCATTACTTTGAAAGACTGTGTTGTTCCATGTATGCAATTTGCTAACATTGGGAGGGGGCTGGGATCCTGCAGACAGCAGCTCGATGTCGTGTTTTGAATGCTAAATTAGATAGGAACAGGGTCCTGTGCCAATGCCCACCAGGGCACTGAGCCCCCAAAGATTCAGCGAGCTCTTGAGATCCTGAATCTTAGAAAATTCACGTCGGTTGAAATTCCAGCTCCACTTAGAAATCTCAGTCTGTGGGAAGCACGTGTTACCAGGTAACCAGGAGAGGCAGCAAGTGCCACTTTGTGAGAGGGACAAAGAAGGGGGCCTTGTGCTCAAAAGCCTTTCATGCCAAGGGAGGGGTGTGAGGCACAGGCTGCAAGCAGCAGGATTAAGCTGTTCCTCGTTCCACAGCTTAACGTGACTATTAGCATAAATTATCAGGGCTGTTCTGCGCGTTGATTATTAAACTCTGTGTGCTTTTTCATACAAGCAGATGGAGTCCTGGGGGGTGTTTTGTTAATCTTTCTTTCTCCAGCACCAGAAACTTTAAAGAAATCTCAGAGACAGATCTTCTATCCAGCCATCAAGGACATAGCCGGTGGGGTGGGGAGACAGATCGCCACACGCTGCAACATAACATCAGTTCCTTTCATTTGTACAGATCCACGTGGTTAATGACGCAGTCACACACCTTCTCTCCCCTTCACCCCGGGGGTGGGGTGGGGCCTCAGTCATTATCTTCACGAGCAGATAAGGAGGAAAGGGTTGGCCACCGGCCTCCCTGGCACTTGAGTTTCCCTTGTTAGATTTCACTCACCCACAGTGCTGCCTCTGTGGGTGCACACCTGGGTGATGATTCTGTTACCTGATGGCTGGATTTGTGCCGTCCCAGCATTTCCAGGGCCATTGCTGGCACCAGCAGAAGGAAACAGTACTTAGCAAGGACAAGCTAGAGAGGCAAAGCTGGGACATTCACAGACTGGGCCAACCAGGCACCATCCTCACTCATGAACGCCCGTTGCTCTTGTTGAAGGCAGGAGAAGGAAAGCCCCAGCTCCTCCCGGAGTGTGGTGGCTCTGTGCCCGGGCTCGCCAGCGTGAGGGTGGGCCTCCAGAGCCTCCGGGCAGGGCCCACCAATAGGCAGCTCCCCAGAGGCCCTGGAGGGTCTTGAGCAGGCAAGATGCCTTCCAGGAGACTGCCCTGGGGCAGCACAATCTGCTGAGTCCTCAGGTCCCTCCGTGGGAGCCGTTTACAGTTTGCAGTGGGTCTTATAACTAACTGTTCCTCACAACAGCCTGTGGGGAGGGAGGAGAGGGAGCCTGGGTTCCTGTGCCCATTTAAATGAGGGAGAAACTGAGGCCGAGTCACAGCACTGGGGTATGGCAGAGACAGGATTTGAACCTGGGTTTCTCCTGCCTATGGTCATCATGACGTTGGATACCCAGTGCCTGCCTTGAATGAGCCCTTGGAGACCGTAGGACTAGGAATGTTCTGCTAGTGTTAAGGACACATGGTCCATTTAATGGTGTCTTCACAAGAGCTGTTTCCTGGGGGTGGTGTTTAGAGGGTTTCGTTCCTGCACAGGAAAGAGCTAACAGAGCGGGCCTGAGACAGTATCCTTAGGAAGGCCCGCAGCAAGGTTGGCCCTCGGCTGGTGTCTGCGAACTTGGGTTTCCGGAGGGTTCTCGCCATTCCCAGGACCGGTGAGGGTGGCCCGCTTGCCTAAACTGCGCTGACATCGTGGCTCATGCCACACGCCTGCTCTCCTGCCCGGAGCCTGGGGTTCTGGCACGAGGAGGCAGAGGCTGCCGGGGGCCCGGCCCCAGAGAAAGCCCTCAGGCACGAGTGTCTGGGGGGCTGCCCTGGCAGACGGCGTTCCACACGTGTTGTCGCAGCTCATTGCTAGGGAACTGAGCACGCACGTCCTGTGTGACTGCACCCGGAGAGGCTCTTGACGCTGCACCCGGTGTGCCCAGCCTTCACCCCAGGAGCCTTTCCCTTTGCTGCTGTGCTTGTCTCCCTTCCACGTGGTAAACGGTGGCTGTGAGCACAACTCCGCTGAGTCCTCTGAGTCCTCCTAGTGAGTCATTGAACCTGGGGTCATCTTGGGGACCCCAGCACGATCCCTAAGCGACTCTTCCTTATTCTGGAGCGGAGTCCACACAGATAACAGATGCTTCACTTTAAGAATCAGTGTGGAGTTAATGGGATGAGGGTGCCTGGGTTTGAGTACCTGCTCCTCCAGGCACTTCGCCTTTCTGAGCCTTGGTTTTCTCATCTGTAAAATGGGGATAAAAGCACCTACTTTCCAGGGCTGGTGTGAGGATGAAAGGAGTCATGTACATGGAACTGTCATGTGGAGAGAAGGCAAGATGGTGTAGGACAGAGCTCAGAGCCAGACCTCTGGGCTCAGGGCTTCACCCCCCAGTTAAGGCTGGGGACCCTGGCTGGCTTCCCCAGCTGGTAGCTGGTGAGATTGCTGGAAAGACCAGACGGGTTAGTCCCTGTGGGCAGGAGCAGCGTGCCCAGTACCCAGCGAGCTCTCAGGTCAGCTGGGGCGTGATGACTGTCAGGATGATGATCGCTGCTTGTAAAGAGCTAATACGGATGAGACTATTTTAAGTTTAAAATCCGATATGTTAAAAATAAAAACAGATTACTATGACAGAGAGCAGCATGAGGAAGTTTTTCCAGATGGCTGAACTGTTCTATATCTTGGTTGTGGTGGTGACGTGACTGTCTGCGTTTGTCAAACCTTGCAGCTGTACACCAGAAGGAGTGAATGTACATTTAAAAATAAATAAAAATTTCAATGTCACTTTATCATCAAAAGCAGGGGCGTCTTTTGTAAAAGACATGGTATTTTCTGCCACAAAATCAGTGGCAAAGACAGTATTTCCAAGACAGCCTTTCTTAATTGTAGTTATTGAAGCAGAGGGAGAGGGAAATGCCAGGAGAGAGAAGGATGAAATGTGGTTTACTGGTTTGTTCATTTGGGCCTGAAAGGGACTGATGAAATCTCATTTAAAATGTGTGAATTTGCGTGAACGGAAGTAAAGCCCGTTGACCGCGTGTCCCTGTGGAATCGGTTGAGGCTTTGGTGTAAGATGTGGTTCTGATTGTTCCCACAGCGAGCCATTTGAGGACCGATCTGGGCTCCGGGGGAGGCAGTGCTGCCAGGAGGATGAGAATAAATTAGATTCTCTTTGTTGTCTGTCGCCGATGGGGCTCCTGCCAGGGAGCAGGGTGTTGTGGTTCTTTGTGGCAGCCGGGCAGGTGGCTGGGGCGTGGCCTGGGACCTTGGTTCACTGGGGGGACTTTGGTTACACTCAGGACGTGGGTGGTGCTTGGAGGGAGTCAGAATGGCACAATTGAAGGAGTGGGCTGCTCAGGCTGATGGGGAAGAAAGCAGCTGCGGGGATGGGGAGCAGTGTCTGGATTCAACTCTGCCGGAGGCTATGGGGCACCAGGGGCCGGTGGGTCTCTGTGGGCAGCCCTGGAGTCAACAGGCGTTACAGGGAGGTGAGTTTTAGCTCCAGATGAGGACAAGCTTTCTTACCAGCAGAGCCCTCCGAGGATGGAAGGGCTTGGCTCCATAGGTAGTGAGCTCTCCATCACTGGAGTTGTGCAGGTGGAGGCTGGATGAGCGCATCACGGACTTTCAGGCACAGGATCTTGTGCAGTTGGGCCCCTCCAGTTTGAGACTCTGTGGCTCTAAGACAATTTCCCGGAGATTTTTTGGCGCCATCTGGACAGGGTCTGCTTCCTAGATTGCCTGGAGGGACCAGACCATTCTCATTTCTGCGCCTTTTCACTCCTGTCCCTCCCCCCTCCTCCTCGGGCCTTCTGTCTCCCTCCCTTGTTCTCCTTTTTCATTGCAGCCTCACCCAGCTGGGCGAGGGCCCTGTCCCTCTCCAGGACTGTCCTTGAGTCCCCAGGCAAAGTCCCAGGAGTTGTAGACACCGCAGTTTGGTGGCCTGAGAATGAATGTGTTTGCTCTTCTGTTTGTCGTGTGTTTCTTCATCCAGTCACCTGTTTACCAGACCTGCTCCTGAGCCCCCTTGTGCATCGTGTTCTCTTAAACCATCATTTTCACACTTATCACGGGGTAAGTTCAGCTCAACAGCCCTGTGAAGCAGGGGTATTGCCCCATCTTGCAGACGAGCAGACAGAGCAGAGAGCATTTCCCTCACCAGGCCTCTGCACTGCACCTTGCCCAAGACACTGTGGGGCCAGAGGCAAGTGTGGGCTCAGCTTACCGTCTAGTGCAGGTGAGACCAGATGGAAATACCTGGACTGCAAGGCGGGCTAAGATTCAGCAGGTCAAAGCGGTGCAGACCCCCTGACACATACCCTCTAGGCCCTGCAGGCTGGGGAGCCTGCATGCATGGAGCTGGGGGTGCATTCCATGCAGAGGGGAGGCAGGGCAGTGCAGGCAGGTACATTGAGGAGCTGGATGGACAAGGTGGTTAGACTTGCTTCTTTTAGTGCCAGTTTGAGCAGAGCAGATGCCAGGCACAGGGAGGAGGGCAGACTGTGGAGTATCAGCTGAGAATTTCTAATTCGCATGCCCGCCTGCTCCAGTCCCATCCAGCGAGCCCACACCGTCCCTCTCTTTTCTGTAGTGTTCGGCAGTGTAGAGCCACGTTTCTCATTCTCTCTCTGGGAGGGCAGCCAGGCCTGGCTTCCTGAGTCCCTACACTGGCTGCCCCGCCTGCCATTCTGCCCTGGGGTTGCAGAGGGGTGTGCAGGGTGGGAGGCCCTGGGTGGAGTCTGCGTTACGCAAATGAGCATCTTGAAGGGCCCGCAGCGGGTCTCAGGTGGCGCGGGCAGTGCAGCTGTCCCTGGCCCTGCTCTTTGAAGCGCCCTCCAGGGAAGCAGAGCAGCCGTCTGTTAGAAGACTCTGCCACTCCCGGAGCCCGCCCAGTCTGCCGTGTGTCTGAGCTGTGAGCAGATGGCAGGGGGGCCTGGAGGGGCCCTGGGAGGAGTGTGAGGGGACCCGAGCTCCGCCACAGCCGCACTGGGTGACTTTGGGAAGTCTCCTTCCTCTCTGGACCCTGTTTTCCTGTTTCTGGAACCAAGGTGTTGGGTGAGAAACTGCAGGCCTCCCCTCAGCTCCAAGGAGAACTCTCCTGGGGTGTGTGTGAGTTCCTCACCTGCGCGGGCGCCCGTCCGCCGCCACCCTCGCGTCAGGCTGGCCGCGGGCTCTCTGCAGGCCAGCAGCTTTCCTGTGGCTGCTTGGAACTGGCAGGGCAAATCTTGTGCTCCCCATCTTCTCCTCCCAGCTCCTGTGGTCGTCCTTCCACCTCGGAGTGTGCACAATGTCACCGGGACACAGGCACACCTGTCCTGTAAGGTGAGGGCTGTGCCTGCGCCAGTCATCACCTGGAGGAAGGTATTTATATCCAAGAGCACGCATGTGCGTGTATGTGTGTGTGTGTGTGAGAGAGAGGTGTAAATGTTTTTTTCTTTTAAGTGTGTTTGAGTGTATATGTTTGTATGTGATCAAGGGTTTAAAAAAGAGATCTTATATACCACTCCTCTACCTCCATGTTTATGCCTCAAAACCTTTACCCCAGAGCTCTCTCCAGAGAAGGGGAGTTGCCATCCTTCCCGTGTCATTTGCTTCCTCAGCCACTAGTTGTCCATGAAGTTCTGCTGTTGATCTGGCCTAGATCAGCGGAGTGAAGTCAGAGCCTCCTTCCCTGGGTCTGGGGTTTGGGAAGCCTGGGCTGGTGGCTGAAGACCCAATCTTGTTCCCAAACTACATCTTCCTGCAGGTCTTTTCTTGGCCCTGAGCTAACATCTGTTGCCAATCTTCCTCTTTTTGTTTGAGGAAGATTGTCCCTGAGTTAAGATCTGTGCCAGTCTTCCTCTATTTTTTTTTATACGTGGGACACTGCCACAGCATGTGGTGTGTGGTGTGTGGTGTGTGGGTCCACACCCAGAATCCGAACCCGCGAACCCCAGGCCACCAAAGGAGCGCACGAACCTGACCACTACACTAGCGGCTGGCCCCTGCAGATCAGTTTTGAGAGACTGGCTTTGATCTCAGCATATGTTGTCCCCTTATCCATCTCAACGGCCCTGAGAAGGGCCATGACATTCTGAACTGCTTCTGCAAGATGGTGATGGTGTCCACAGCTTCACTGTCCAGCAGGGGGTGCTGTCTGTACTTACATTTAGGTTTGAAAAGCGACTGACATTTTAATAGGAATAAGAGGTACTAGCGTGTCAGCCTTCCAGTCAATGGGAAGATGAAGTCAGTGAGGATGTCTGTGGGGTGGTCCTTATGCAAAAATTCTTTTTCTAAACCATACCTGGCTTTTCTGTCCTCTGTAGGTCACACAGTCTCCTGAGGGCACCCAGGTGCTGGAGGACCTGCCTGGGGACCACGTCAATATAGCTGTCCAGGTACAAGGGGGCCCTTCTGACCACGAGGCCAGGGCCTGGATTTTGGTGAGCATCTCATTTGTTTAGTGTTGCTGGCTATTATTGACTGGCCCTCATAAAGCACCCTTTATATTTCTATAACACGTGACACATTTCAAAGCTGTTGTTACCCATTTCTCTTGGACCCTAAAATTACCATGAGGAAAGTGGAGCAGGCAGTGTGACCCCTGAGAGCATAGTGATCTTCTGTGGTAGGATAGTCGGGGCCCCAGAAAGGCGTCTGCGTCCTAGTCCCTGGGACCCATGGACATGTTATTTTATACGGCAAGAGGAGATTAAGGTTGCAGATGGAAGTGAGCCTGCTCATCAGCTGGCTTTAATAAGGAAGTCAACCTGGATTATCTGAGTGGGCCCAGTGTAATCACAAGAGTCCTTGAAATGTGGAAGAGGGAGGCAGGAGAGAGGGCCAGAGAGATGGCAGTATCTGAAAGACATGCCCTGTCATTGCTGGCATTGAAGCGGCCACAAGCCAAGGAATGCAGGCAGCCTCTAGAATGGAAAGGCAAGAAACAGGTTTTCCCCTAGGGACTCTAGAAAGAAGACAGCCCTGCCACCACCTTGACTTTAGCACACTGAGACTGTTCGGACTTCTGACTTCAAGAACTGTAGTTTGTGTTGTTTTAAGCCATTAGTGGTGGTTCGTTACAGCAGCCCCAGGAAAATAATACACTTGCCCAAGACCCTACGGCAGATAAAGAGGGGCCAGGGCTCCTCTACGCCACTGCAGCAGTTTTGCTAAAACAAGGGAATGCCATGTGTTTGAAAGAGTGAGGGACTGATGACACAGGCTTCCATATTGGGCTGGTCACTCTGCCTCTCTGAGCTTCAGTGACCACAATGGTAAAAAGAGGGCTTTGGAATGGACAGCGTCCAAGGGCCCTGGGACAGACCTGCGAGTCTCCTGTAACATGAGGATAACGATGCTCCTCCTTCCCGTGTGACAGGCGTGAGTTCAAAATGAGAAGGTGTGCATAAACCCTCCCCAGTCTGCAGAGTGACTCACAGGTTGTTACCATAGAGAAAGCAAGAGACGAGAGAGCTGGATGTGGGTCTGCTCTGCAGGGCCGTGTGAGCAGGCTGCCCTCTGAGGCTGTGCTCCCCATCTGCTCCCATCCCTGCGAGGTTTGCTGACTTCACCCAGCTCAGAGACTCAGGATGCAGTTGGGTCCGAGGCTTTTTCAGCTTAAGCACATTCCCCCACTTATTTACAGGAAAAGGTAGCGAAAGCGTGATGTCTGGTGCTACTCTGTAAAGGCTGCCTCCCTCCAGGGCACTTGTGGTCCGTTCCTTGGTTGGTAGATTTTTGTTCTTTTAATTTGCGGTATTTTCCTTATAATCTATACCTATCACCTTCAATAAAAGGACCAGGTTGCTCACAGTAAAAGGCAGGAATGCAGGGGCCTGGCCCCGTGGCCGAGTGGTTAAATGGACCGAGGGGCTCCACTTTGGCAGCCCAAGATTTGCCAGTTCGGATCCTGGGCATGGACCTGCACACCACTCATCAGGCCATGCTGAGGCGGTGTCCCACATAGAGGAACTAGAAGGACCTACAAGTAGGATATACAACTATGTACTGGGGCTTTAGGGAGAAGAAGAAAAAAAGAGGAAGATTGGCAACAGATGTTAGCTCAGGGCCAATCTTCCTCACCAGAAAAGAAAGCATACTTAGAAAAAAAAAAGGCAGGAATGCAGAGTAAAGATTAAAATGAGAGGCCCGGTAGAGAGGGTGTTAAGAAGGGAATTTAACTCTTTCTTGGCAGGCAAGGCAAGAAGAGAAATACAGTGAGCTCTGTCTCATTTTGAAAAGGAGTGAGTGTTCAGATGTAGCTTAAGAACTAAATCAAGAAGTGAGTTTTTTGTGCCATGTATGACTGCATAAACTGCCTGTGTTATTTCTAGATCCACCCTCTGAGAAAGGAAGATGAGGGAGTGTACCAGTGCCATTCAGCCAACGTGGTTGGGGAGGCCCAGTCCCACGGCACGGTCACAGTCACCGATCTGAGTAAATACCAAGCCCCTCGCTTCCCAGCTCCAGGTGACCACTTGTGATGGAGTCATGTACATGTTCTAAGTCACTTTCAGTATTTACACACCTGTGTCACAAGAGACTGAGATGATATGTAATGAAAAGAAAAATACATAAATCGAGGAAACTAGAGGAATGCAAAACGGGAGTGGGCACATATTGTGACTAGCAGGTAGATTCTCTAGTGTGTTCTGCACACGTCGCTCTGGGCTTCCCACCTCACATGCAGAGTCAAGAGATGAGAACGTTATGGGTGTCCATAAGGTGAAAAAAACCAGTCATTTTTTCCGTTTCTGAGGCTGAACGGAGTGTTTCCTACACGTCCTCGCAGAGAGGCTCCGAGAGCAGACGTGGTCCCTGCAGCGCGCCCCTGTGAGCACGCACCTGCTGAGCACACAGTCTGAGCTTCATCTGTCTGTGCCCGGCTTCCTCCTTATCGGCAGCTCTGCTGTCTCCAGGCCTTGCCTCCCTGTCCCCAACACTGTGCCTGTTGAGAATCAACACATCTCCAGGAGAACCTGCATCTCCCCTGGCCTCATAGTCACCTGCCTAAGGGGTTGCACCTGTCCCCACCGCCAGGTGGGCTGTGACCTTGGGAGACGAGTCCCTTTATTAGCCAGCTTTTGCTGCTTAACAACCTCCAAACCTCGCTGGTCACAGCCACCAACTTTTATCTCTTGCTAGCATTGCGCGTCATGGCTGTGGGTTGGCTGTGCCCCCGCTCCAGGTGTCTTTTCATAGTGGGGCCAGCTGGAGGAGCAGCCCAGTGTGGAGCGCATCCATTCTGGCGGCAGAGGGGTGAGTGAGAGGCTGGGCCGAGCACAGGCTCATTTAAAGGTTTTGCTCCGATGCAGCCTGTGTCACATCTGCTAAGTCCATCAGCCAAAGCAAGTCCCACAGCCGCGCGCAGCGTCAGTGGCGTTGGGGGAGGTCTGCTCCTCTCACCAGAGGCCCAGGATGGGTATGCGTGATCTTCTTATAGGGTCGGAGGAAGGAACAGTCTTGAACAGGCACTATCACCAAGGCCAACTGACAAGTTTTTAATAGAGCAGGAAAAACTAGAAACAAGTTTGGTGTTTGTGAAAAGCGGCAGGATTTGCTGTGGTTGTAATCCATATGATTCCACATTTAGCGCTATTGTCGTGCATCTTCTGAATACAAGGCCTCACGTCAGGTCTGCGGAGGACACACAGAAAACCCAACATTGAGCGTCACTGCACTACAAGCATACGAGATTTAGGAAATAGGGTGTGTGTGAGTTTGAGGAGAGAGAAGTGGCTTAGAACTGGGGAAAACACAGGAAGGCTTCACTGAGGGCGTAGCATTGGGTTTGGAGGATGGGTGGGTGCACGTTGTTAGAGCTCCTGGAAACGGGGAGAAAAATAGAAGGTATAAAACCCTCAAATAGGAATTCAACAAAGAGTTAGGAGGTGGCTCTTAAAGTTGCCCCCCTGATACTTGACTTTTTGTTTTACACACACACACACATAATATGTTTCATCTTTTAAATATATATATATAATTTTTAAGTATATATACATTTTTTTAATGGAGATGATCTGGGCTATGAATACGGTCTATTATAGACGAGTTTTCAAAAGGGAGCCACAAAGAACCATGGAGTTTAAGACCATTGCCACCACCCAGTTCTTGAGTCCCCTCTACAACATGCAGTATTGGCCAGCTCTTGCTTGCATACCTCCAGAGATGTGGAGCTCATTACCACCAGACAACCATCTTTGCATTTTCCAGTGGTTAAAAGTTCTTCCTCATGTTAAGCTGGAATCTGCCTCCCTGAAAAGCGCCCCCCATTGGTCTTAGATGTAATTCTTGGACCCCCCAGGGGGCTCTCCGCTCCCCACCAGCACCACTCCTTGCCGGGGAGAGATGCACGGTTATTTACGTCACCTTCCATTTAGCACACAGTTGATTGTGACAGAGCAGGCTTCTTTTCTCTAACTCTTTTCCCTCTTTTCTTCCAGGGTCTTAGGAACATTGATCACAGGATGACGGAAATGAATTATTTTGCTTTGTGAAGAGCTGGAAAAACTGTGTTTGTGGATGACCCCTTTTGTGTGTTTTTAAAAATTAGATGCAAACTAGATTTGTATGCAGATGTAGTTTTTAGCAGGGCAAACATTAGAAAAATGGGCTACATGTAGCTTTTTTATACTTTTGAAATGAATTGCTCTGTGAGAGTTCTTTTTGTAACTCCTCCCTCCCAGGGAAGTCGTGTCATGGTCTATTTGTAATTCTGAAGGGCTGGAGCGTGGCATGTGTCAGCTGGGACTGTTTACCTCGTTTGTCCGTGGCTCACTAGTGGAGCTCTGTGATGTAGACAGTGTGTATTGTAGGACGGGGAGGGTCCCGATGTCCTCTGCCTGCTATGGTCTCTGACTGCTGTGTGACCTGGACAGGGCCCTCCCCTCTCTGGGCCTTGGTCTCTTCACCTGCGAATGTGACTGTAGACTGGATGTTACCCGTGTCCCTTCAAGCCCTGCCATCCTAGAGTAAGATGGCCATAAAAGATGGGAAAAGTACAGGGCATGTGGTCTTAGCAGTCTTTTATAAAGGGCTGTCCCCTCCAGTGCATACCACTGCTTCATCCTAGGGGGTGGCAGCTGGCTGCGGCTCTTCTATTCATGCTATTTCCTCATTTGAAAGAGGTTTAGTCCTGTGTGGACATTTCCTAGGCTCAGGGGCCCCTTGGCTGGGTGTTTGGGGACCGAGATGTCCACTTGTTAACATTCCAAGCATTCTCTAACCAGGTGGACAGTGGAGAGCTGGCTTCTGGACATCAAACTGTGAAACTGGGTCGGATGCTGTCTCTGGGCTGTGGAGTTAGAGTGTGGTAGAGAACATTTTACTTAGAGACGTCTCAACCTCACCCAAGAATAAGGTTTTCTTTCTTTCTTTTTTTAATGAAGAAAGAAAGAAGGAGAATATTTTGTATCTGGGCTAAAAGGAAATAGATCTTCTAGGTGACTGACTTGGGCTCTCACAAGTGGTGAGTCCCTTAGGTTCATGAAGCACGCCTCCATCTGTGGTCACCTCCTAACTCCAGACGGCAGGTAGGGCAAGCACTACTGTCCCTCAGCCTTTATAGGTGAAGACCCAGGCTCCGAGAGTAAAGCGCTTGGCTGAGGTCTGAAGGCCTCTGAGAAGGACCAGAACTCCGGGCGCCTGGCCCCCCTCAGCATCCATTCCTCGCTGTGTGCTGCTTCTCAGCATGGTCTCGTAACGCCGTAAAGGAAGGCGCTGCCAGTTCCCCAGGGTCAGGGTTCCTTCGTCAGGGCTCACCTCAGCTTTTACAGCACACTGTCATGCTGCTCACATTCCGCGCGTTACCTTTTGGAGTCCTTTTTGGAATTGCATTTTATGCCTTTAAGCCTGGCCGCTCCATATCTGAAGTACTGGGGTGATGTCACCCTGAGAAGCTGGCCCCGGCGGTCCAGAAACAGGCGGCCCATTGGGGTTCATCCCATGTTTGCTACGTGACCCTGAGCAAGTCCCCTTCACTTTCTGGACCTCAGTTCCCTCATTTGAGTAAGAAGGGAATGAAACTAGAGGGAGAGGGGGGGTTTTCAAACTTTAAAACATTGGAACGCTTCTTTGAATAACGTTAGAATTGAAACTGATCATTCTAGAAGCTGTGGTTGTCTCTTACGGGTTGGAGCTGCTGCGGACCTGCTCTTACCGCCCCCCACTCGGCACCTCCCACCCCTCTGCCCGCTCCCCACACTGCAGTGTTTCCGTATCTGAGGTTTGCAGTTAATTCTTCCGTGAGTTGAGTGGTTGGGAGATGACTTGGTAAGACGCTTAGTGAAACTCTCAGGAGGAAGAGGAGACTCCGGCCCTGCAGAAGGCGGTGAGGAGCGTGCGTCTGCTCATGAGCACAATCAGGGAGATCAGCGGATCACCTCAGATTTGCCCACGCAGAACTGGAGAGTTGGAGCCAGACCCAGAGAGCAGGTTGGACAGATCCCTGTGGTGACAGAGCTGAGCATCAAGACTGCGTGAGGCTGGGTTTAGCATCATAACTATGTACAAAAATAGTAAATGTTAGACTGCCTGAGATTTTCACCAAAACTGGAAGGGTAGAGGAACTTGATTGTTCCGACCTAGTGAACGATTAGTTTCCGACTGCGAGTGCCCAAGACTCTTCAGAGCCAAAGCTGTGTGCTGTGGCTCTTACCTTTTGGAAACGTGAGCCCCCAGAGCCCCTGTTTTCTACCCTGTTTTTGTAGATCTGATGGTGTCACATGACCCTGCACCTGAAGAATGTTTTAAGGGCAGGCTGTGTGGTCTCTCTGTCCTTGGAAGGCTTCTGTAGGTGGGTCCAGGTCCCACTGATGCTTCCCCATCCTCCCGTGCGCATCTTGGCTTTTCTTCTCCTTGCCTGCATCGGCTGCTGCGGTCCAAATCCTCCTCACCTCACACGCCTGCGCTGTGGGCACAGCCCCACTTCATCACCTTGCTTGCGATTTTAACCAGCCCTGATCACCTACTGCTGGCCTGATCCTTCTAACCATCCCCCACTCCCCCGAACTTGTGTCTCTTACTCTGTAAGCATTCTAGTATTAAATTCACTTGGCTACATCTGCCCTCTGTCACCTTCCGCACGCACATGGAGAGGCTGGGAGGGTGCAGACGCTGGCAATGTGAAGGCAGCTGGGGCCTGGGCCCTGCCCTCCGGTGAGACTTGAGTGGGGCTGAGTGGGATGAAGTCCCATCCTGCCAGGCAGCACAAGGCACCAGCTTTGTGATCAGAGCACAGGGAGATCAGGGAAGACTTCGTGGAAGAGAAGATGTCCGAGCTGGGGATTGGAGTGAGTGGAGATTCCTGCGTAGGGAAGCAGCATGCCAAAAGAGCAGGGGCGGCTGGTGGGAGCTGGATGAGGGGGGCGGGGTGGGGGGCTGAGGTTAGACTTGACGCCGTAAGCATTGGGCAGCCCCAGTCTCGGTCTCAGTCTTCTGTTGTCAACTGGGTTTCAGGAAGATAATTCGAAAGCCAGTGTTCAATCCCAAATGTATTTCCCACCTTAAACAAAAAGGTCTTATTTTTATCAAAATGGATTTTTGTCTTCAAGTTTTATGGTCAAGTTAATCCTATGTCTTTAAAAAACATTGCCCTCCCCTCGCCCCGGGGGTGGACGAGGCAGGAAAAATTAACAAGAGCGAGAAAATCAGTCGACCGTGAGCTGTCTCCTCTGCTGAGCTTCCTCATTCCCAGCCTTCGCCAGGGCCTCTCGAACATTCAGTCAGAGAAAGGTTATTATGTGATATTTTAATTAACTAAGGAAAACTAAAAGGCCCCGGGGTCTGCAGCTGAATAATGAATTCCGAACACAGGAGCCCATCACCAGGGCAGAACCGGAGAGCAGCACCTGCCCATGCTTGTCTGTGAGGCCGATTCTCTTTCCCGCAGTCTGAACTCCTAACAGTCAGTCAGGGCTGCCTCCGAGTTCAGCCTCGACTGCATGGGGGCTGAGAAGGGTGTGCCACCAGGAGGCAGGTACCTGCGTCTCCTTCCGCCAGGGCTGCGTCTTCCTCTTGATATTAGGGAGGGGCTTCTTGTCCCGGGAAGAGTGAAAATCAGTGATAGGTGTGTGTGTTGGGGGCACAGAAGCCTCTCTTTTCTCCGTGTGTAAATCCACCCACCACACACATCTGCAGGGCACCTACTGTGCACCAGGCATGGCCAGGTGCTGAGGGGTTTACTGTCACTCACAGCCCCCAGGGTCGCAGCCCTGGCACTGAGAGCTGCTGGAGGTAACCAGATCTGGACCCGTCTCTCTGTGCTGCTGAAAGTGCTGCCGTCATCCCTAGGGTAGAATGGGCCTTAGCTTTGGGGAAGGAAGACCTGGAACCAAAGTCCAGCCCCGCCACAGTCTGTGTGTCTGGGTCAATTCCCTCTACTCTCCAAGCCTCCATTTCCTCTTCAGTCCAGGAGGTCAGCATCACTGCCCTGTCCTGCTGCTCTGAGAATCCCGGGAACCAATGGACATGTGCGGTCCACTCTGTAGAGAATGCTGAGGGCTGTCTGCCAGGTGGGCTCCCTAGTTATGAATCCAAGTTTTTGTTTTAAGCCTTTTTTACTAATATGTGTAGAGAAGACACTCCAGATGCCAGGTTTTTGGCAAGGGTGCTCTTCTGGCTGTATTTTGGCCTTTTTCCTTTTTTTCTTCAGTCTTAGGAATTAGTGATGGGCTAGATAGTCCCCAGAGGATTTGCAGGCTCTTTGAGATGAGGGAAATGGGTGGAATCTGAACTGCCTCTAGAGATGCATTTCCAGTCTTGCAAGGATTTTCCAAGGACAATTGCTCTTGATTTCTCAGAAACTGGGTTGTAACTCAGATGACATTATAGGTTGATCTACCTGTCCAACTACATCACAAAGGCACAGAGAAACCACTCAAGTTTTCTCCCAGATGGAGTTTCTGGGACATAACCCATCCAATTGAAAGTGTTTCCAATTAATTAGAATGCACCCGAGGGGTGGCTCTCCAGGGATGCTTGGGGCCTTCCCCATGGCAGTAAAGCTGGTGTCTGACTGACAGCAGCTGGAGAAAGGGTGCAGAGCCCGACTGCAGGTGTCAACATAGCTATAAGATTTAGTCAAGTCCCATGCAGCCCGGGCCCTTAGTCACTGAGCCAGCACAAGGCGAGCCAGGGAGGCAGGAGGCAAAGGCCTGGAGCTGGCTGGGGGCTGGGGCTCCCAGGGCCAGGGTTGAGAGTTAAGTCCCCTGGCAAAAGGTTTGCAAGTTTTCGATTTTACAGAAGGTCCAGGTTCTGCTCAGGTCCAGCCTGAACTTAACCCCGACTTGGTGACGACGGAAGAGGTCATGAACAAGACAGACACAGAAGGCAAAGAGGTGATCAGGCCTTGACCTCCTGGCCTCTTCCCAAGAGTTATCAAGATAAAGGTCACACAAACAACATTTCCCGGGCAAGACAGTTTACACAATAAATTACAGATGTCCTGTCCCCATAACTGACTTAGTAGGCACCTAAAATACTCAACAGGCTCTTGACAGGAGAGAAAACAGGGTTCCAGATTGTCAGTCAAAGGACTGACCAAGGGGCCAACCTGGAATCACTCCAGGTGCCCAAAAACCGGAGAGCTGCAGGGGGTGGAATGAGGACTCTCTGAAACCAGGCAGAGGAGAGCTCCCAGGGGTGGGGGTGGGGTGTGGAGCTCTCCTTAGTGTAAGACCAGGGGAGGAAGCTGAGATTCCAAATTTGATGAAGTTCTTAAGACTAGTCATTGTAAGAGCTCTCTGATTGTGGCCACTTGGTATTACAGAAAAACACCATCATTTTCTTTTTCATGGACTCATAACTGAAAGTTGCCCAGTTTTGAAGAATGCAGCCAAGGGGCCTGCAGGTGGGAATCGAATTAGCGTTAGCCATTGTTTCAGAATTGAAACACGGTCGGTCAAAGTATACTTACGCTGCAGCTAGAACTAGATCTCAAAACCAAGCCAAGCCAAGCCAAGAGCACTTCTGTGAGTGGATCCCCTAATTCTTACTTTTTATC